AAAGCCGCGATCGCGATCTGCGGCGGCAATTCGGCGGGAGGTCCTTCACTCCCAGGCGGAGTGAGGGACCGTCCGCCGAATTGCCGCCGAATACCTGGAACTGCCGCCCCTGTCCGGAACGGCCGCCCCAAGCACCTGCTTGAGAAGCTAGTGCCTGGAGCCGGCCCTGGTATCAGTTGTGAACCTCCCCACATGCCCGCACACACACTCCATGGCGTCGCCTGGGACCTTAACACTGAGAACCCAGAGATACTGCATGCAGCCACCTCTGGGGCAGAGCATGGCAGAGCTGCACAGATCTATACATTCACATACTCATACCCTCACTTCATGTTTCCTACAAACCCTCACACACATACCCCTCCATGCACTCACCCTACACACTCATATGCCTCCATGCACATGCCCTACACTCCTTCACCCCGGCTCACATCATTGCACACTTGCACCCCCATGCACACACCCTTCACACTCATATGCCTCCTTCCACATTCCCTACAAGCTCACCCTGCCAATGCACCCCTCTCCCCCTGGGCAGGGCACTGGAACAAGGGGTGCTGGGGATGCAGCAGTGCCTCCTTGTTTGGCAACTGAATGCCTGGCTTCCATCGTACACGTGTTACTGTTTTATTCAGTGGCTTACTATCCCCTGCCCCAGTGTACATATTCTACAGGCTCACAGCCCTCCAGTGCACACGCCCTACACACTCCACAGCACCCCCAATGCACATGCCCCATGTGCTCACTCCCCCCACCCCCCTGCACACTCCCTAATCACACACAGGCTGGAGCTATGGTCCCTACCCCCTGGCCCCACATCCTTCCTGAACTGGCCCAGACTACGGTGCTCCTGTTAGAAAGGCCCTGGCAGTCAGTCAGAGCTGTGGGAGGAGTAGGGTGGGGGACAGCAGGGAAGGGGAAGGGAGGAGGGTGGGAAGGATGGTGTCAGACACAGTGTTAGTTCAGCCCCAGAGAGTCGCTCTCAAAATAAAAACCGGACACAAGAGCAGCATGCCCCAGTCAGTCCCAGCATGCCATGCGATATGGAGGGCCAGTGGCGCCACCCGTGGCGGGAGTGGGGATGACAGCCAGGACATCCAGTGGGGTTAACAGGCCAGCCTGCAGCCAGCCACACCCTTGGGGTGGGATTCCCAATGGGGCTGGGGGGACATCCCTTACAGGCCTGGTCCAAAGCCCACTGAGAGTGATGGAGAGACTCAGCTTTGGAGAAGGTGTGAGCGGATAACCCCATGGAACTACCCCAGATGCATAGTGCAGAGGGGCAAGGTGAGGGGGAAATGTGGCTTGCACCCCCAAAACATCCAAATGAATGGTCCATCTTTCATTGCCCCCTTGCTCCCACCCCCCAATCAACCTCTGGTCCTGACCCCACTGGCTGCCATTAGCCCATTTCCCACAATCCCTGGCGGGTTCGCCGCCATGGAGCAGATGTGACGCGCACAGAAGTTGCTTCATGGGATGGTGTTTTCCATGGATTTTTTGTTGTTGTTGTTGTTTTTGAGGGGGAGGGGGAGGTAAAAGGAATAAAAAATGTAAAACCAAGAGTAAAAATAAAGAAATAATATATTTTTAATTTTTTTTTCATTTATTTTTGGGAAAAAAAATCCAATAAAGTTAAAAAAATTTTGCTTTTAGAAAAGAAAAAAAAATTCCCCCCAAAAATAAATAAAAATATAAACAAATTAAAAAATGTTGCTTTTGGAAAAGAAAGAAAAAGACTTTTAAAAAATGTTTTTGGTTCAAAAAATTTTTAATTACAAGCTTGAGCGGTTCAAAAACAATGGATTTTTTTTAATACCACATTTGGTAGGTTGGTTTTAATCTTATACCAACCCGGGGTATTGGATATCGTCAATTTTATACTGACATTGATTTGTGGTTCATGTCAACTTTATACCAACCTTGGTTTGGTCGATTGGTTGGTTTTCAATCTACACCCACCTAAGTTTGATTGTACGGTGAGTATTTGATTCTTTTCATTTTATGCCAACTCTGCTCTGGCAGCAGGGTTGATTCTGCACTGACTCCAGAGTGGCTGACCAGTTTGTTTCCAGTTCTTGATTTTAGACTTATCACAGTTTGATTATTTAGTTGTTAATTTTATGTGTGTTTGGGTAGTTTATTTCAACCTTTACGTTTTGAAAATTATATTTCACTTTCTTGTGTAGTACTTAAAGAAAAAATTAAGAAATTAAAATAATGATAATTAAAAGCCCAATTAATTAAGTAAAAACCAAAAGGAGGGAAGGGAAAAGATAAAACCCACGGCAAACCAAACGATTAGACAATTAGAGTGATATCTACCAGGTAATGCAGTTTGTTTACCATAGCGTGTCCAATTCCTGCGTGCTATATGTATTAAAAAAATAAAATAAATGAGGGAAAGGGGGAATAATAAAAAAAACAGAAAAGAAAAGGAAAAAAATGACCAACCATGAAAATCAAGGGAGATAAAAGAGGGAAAAAATCAATTTTCCCATCGCAAGAAGGGCGATCAGGTTTGTTTGTTTTTTTAAAAAAATATTCCACCCACCTTCCCCTTGCACATCCCGCTCTCCCCCACCCCCCGACCAAACTCCTCCCCCTCCCAACCATAAAGTATTATAGAGAGAGAGATCTTGGTTAGTAAGAATAAAAGAAAGGAAAAGAGACTATTTAAATTAAAGACTTGAAAAGAAATGACCGACATTCCATTGGATGAGACAAGGAGGGTTAGTTCTGGCGTCTCTGGTTGAGAGCTGGAGTCTTTCAAGAAGCGTGTTAGTAACACACACACAAAAAAGTTGTCAACGTAATTTCTAACGAGGTGGGGGGTTTGGGGAGTGAAGGGTGGGGAGGGGGAAGGAGGAAAAGCAAGGCCTGTGTTAGCAGGATTAGTAGATCCTAAGTGGCTGGCTCTGGGGTCAGCAGAGAGTGGGGGAGTGGGCTGTATCCCCAGCCAGGGGAGTCCAGATTTTATCTTGTATGTTGTGTGGGGAGGAGTGTATTATTGGGGGAGTGCTGGGGGCAAGTTGGGGGGGGAGAGGAACCAGCTCCCCCACTCCAGTTCCTGAGACTGTTAAAAATTTGTCCTGCTTTTTGTTAAATTATTTTTCTTAATTAACTTTAGTCCAAAAAAGGGAAAGAATCAGAAACCAGGTTAGAAGGAGAAGCCAGTATGGAGGGGGAGCCTCAGTCTGCAGGCAGGGAGGGGGAGGGGTGAGTCAGATGCACCCCATGCACCCACTCCCTGGACTCTCACCCAACCTCTTCTACACCCCCACCATCTTCCCCATGTCTGCTACACCCCCATCCAACCTCTTATACCTCCCCCACCTCCCCCAGTACATACCAGCCACACCCACCTCCCCCTCACCCGCATCCAACCTCCTCTACTTCCTCCACCTCCTCAGTATACACAAACCCCACACACCTCCCCCACGCCCCCACCCAACCTCCCCC